ATTTAGGTTTGATATTTGGAAGAAATTTTTCACAGTAAGGGTGGCCAGGATCTGGAATGGGCTGCCAAGAGAGGTGGTGCTGTCACCTAACTTGGAGGTCTTCAAGAGGAGGCTTGACAATCACCTGGCTGGGGTCGTCTGACCTCGGCCCTCTTTCCTGCCAGGGGCAGGGGGTCAGACACGATGATCCATTGTAGTCCCTTCCGACTCTACAATCTATGAATCTATGATGTATGTGTTTATTCAGTTTTAGTTTTGCACTGAGAATTTGGACAATTTTAAGGAAAAAAAAGTTTCCATACAAAATCCATTTACAGAGTCTGCTTCTCTGAGGTTGTCAGCATCTTCCCTTTCCTTTATGATCATTTGGAACTATTGGCTGCCATGTGCTTAAAGCAAGTGCTGAGTCCCTTATTAAATGACTTCATTGCCTAATTGTAGGCAAAAACCAAAGGCTTAAAAGTTAAGGATTTAAAATACAGGGTCAAGACTAGTATGTATTATTATGTTCTTTATTAGTAGGAGGGAAAGAAAAAAGGAAGATTACAATGAGAGGTGAGTAGCAGGAAAGCAGACAAACCTACTGATGGCTCACTGAAGGTATATCGTGATGCTCTTGTTCCTCTTGAAAAATGCCCACCTAATAGCTCTCTTCATGGTATTTGTAATACAATTAACATGACATTTTTCCAAATTACTGGGAATGAGCTGAAGAATGTACATGCCAAATTAAGATATGATAAGACATTTTGAATGGAAAAAAAAGGAAGGAAGAATGCATGGTTGATTGAATGAATAATTTGTCTTGAGAATGCAATAAACATGTGGTAAATCATCATTTTTTCAAGTTAAGTGACCAAAGTAAATCATTTGGTTTGAAATAGGTCTGGTCCTGATCCTACACCACAATCCATGTAACTATGTCCCTGCAATTCAGCATACCTTTAGATGTTTATAGGACGTGCCTGTGTAGATCCAGTTCAGTTATCAGGGCTTTCCAGTGCTGTTGTGTTGTGAAATATGTTCACATGAAACAACATTTACTTTTCAACCATCCCTTTTTCTCAGTCCATAAAGAATCACATCTGCTAAGGCTTAAAAAAAGGAAGGAGGAAAAGTCAACAAAATTAAGGGAGATGGAAATTGATTCTTCCTCCTTTTCTAGATAAAGTAGTCAATTTTATAATAATTTGCATCAAGAAGTCAGTAGGTTACCCAGATTTAATTAAGGGCAAAGTAAGGCAAAGGGGTTAAATACATGTCAGGATTGGAAGAACCTGTATTGCTGATGATCAAGGTTTTAAGTGACTCTTGGTTTTCAGCTCTGAATAAAAGACTAAAATAAGATTTAAAAAAAAAATAAAGTGCCCCCTCAGCAATATTGGAAAATCAGGATCCTTCAAAGCAGCAGTGCCCAACCTCCAACCCATGGGCCAAACTGAGCCTGCCATTGGAGCTGAAAATTTGGCTGTGGGGGAGAAATTTCAGCACTTATTGCTGTGGCTTCCAGAGGCTCAACAATTGATGCCACCATCATTCCCCTGTTGCCAAATTTCTGGCCCTGTGGGAACACTGTGAGCCAAATGATATGGCCCCATGCTCTGGATCATGCCAGCACACAGGGCCCGGTCAGCATGTAGGTTTGCTCCAGGGCTCAATTTATCTTTCAGGGCTGAGACAGGGTCCTGCATCCCACTTGTAGACTGACCCCGTGTACTGTTCTCATTCTGGATCTGGCCTATGGACCAACCCTGCTTGTGGGTTCCAGCCTGTGGACTTGCCCCCCTATCACCCCTCTGGCTTGCAGGGCCAGACAGTTGAGCACCACTGCTTTAAAGTGTCTTGAGTATGTTGAGCCCCAGCTCAAGTCTGGGATCGTGCCCGGTATGCAAAAGCCAATAAAGATACCAGGGGTGAAAGTATAAAGATTTATTGCTAGCAATACAAGGTGCAAGCGGAATAATTTCACGTAACAAGCACACAGATTCTTAATTCTAAGCATCTTTTATACAGGAGTATTGGACCTTCATAAGCATTCTTGTTTGCTAATTGGTTATAAGGGAGTGACGCAAGGAGTTCTTTACTGAGCATGTCTCTATACCTGTGTTTTAGCTATGTATCTCATTTCCATACATGTATGTTTCATTAGCATACTTTCTCCCCACCTAGGGGTGTGAATCTTAATATTTAAATCAGCTCTTTGCCCTAGTCCTCTGATTCTGCTTTTGTTTTCAAGCCTCCTTTATCTAAGACTGTCTCCTCCTTATCATTGCAGATGGGCATTAGTTACATAACAGAGACTTTTGCTTGGGCTATGTGTAGTGGTTTCTAGGTCAAACCTGACAAGTAGACTTCCCAAAAAGTAAGATGGACTAGAGCATTAGAAACATCTTGAAAAATCTTAGCTTGTAAGTTTTCCAGAAAAAGACAACAGTTATAAATGTTCAGATCTAAGATTTTTAACATACGGTGAAGGAAACTAGTGAAAAAGTGTATATTGTTTTGTGTTGAAACGTGCATGCCTCTAATATACAGGGCTTTGGACACTGCTGTCTTAGGCCACTTTCATGCTGAGATGATGCTATTAAACTACTTTCAGTAGTATGCAAGTGTTGATTCTGCTGGATCCTGGCTTATGTCCTTGTGAAGGAATCCCCTTCCCGCCTTTTTTCATAAGTTTTTTTTCCCCCTTCCTCTTTCTTTGCCTTTTCACATGTCTGTCAACCAGGTTGCTGCATACATGTCCACACCACATGGGGGCAGGGGCTTCAGCCCATGTCACTCCAGTAGGTAACTGTAATGTTTTTCAAATTGATTGGCCAGCATCAAATAACACCTGTCCCTGACTGGGTCCAGCTGGTGAGGTCAGGAGGGCTATTTAAGAGGGTCTCTCCAGAAAGAAGGGGGCAGACATTTTAAAACACACACACAGAAGCGTGGGCCTCCACAGCTCTCTCTCTCATACTCAGGATGTGGAAGTGAGTAACTTACCAGAAACCTAACTAGAAGCTCAGTTCAATGTACGTACTCTAGTCGCGTTTCAAAAGGCCAACAAGCCACCTAGATTTGCTTAAGTTTGGTTTTCTTTCTATATTTTGCTATTGGTATTCCTTCCCCATCCTATCCCTCTTTGATCAATAAATCTATCTGTTTTAGCAAGCCTCACTGTGTGTGCTTAAGAGGGAAGGAATCGGCTAAGGTGGCCTCAGCTATTTAACTTTCCTCCCGCATGGGAGGCTGCTGGTGAATGCTTCAGGCTATAGAAGCACCCCAGAATCCCAAGGTCTACAGGGCCTGTGTATCCTGGGCGGCACAGGGCCCAGACAAAGACCTGAGTCTGGGTGGTGGCAGCGGTATCCCAGGCTTGTGGGTGTGCTCCAGGAGGGGGGGTTGGTCAGATGTGAGTCACTCAGAGCTTGGCTTTTGGCCAGGTGCAGTGAGGTGGGCAGCTCAGCACAGGAGCGCCCCTTACTGTCCTGCTGCAGTCCTCAGGACCTTTGACACACACACCTAGGCAGGAGTATAGAGGAGTAGAGGCTGCCCAAAATTTCCTTCCCTCTTTTAGACCATTGAGACAGAATCCAAAGACCAGACTCAGGCCAGACATTGGGTGCCTCAATGGTTGTAGCTCTATGCACATACAGGTATCAAACCCAGATTTCTTACATGGCGGGAAAGGAGTCCACCACTGAACCACAACAGCAGTAGTATTTTTTAGTAGTATTACTACTTTTTTTTTTAGTAGTATTGCTGTCGAGCTGCAGTAACAGTGGTGAACATGGCCCATTGTGAACAGCCTTTGACAGATAAGAGACACAGACATTCACTAAGGCATATTTAGGAAGCCATCTAATCAAAAGCAACCATACTAATTAGGCAAGATAATTTTCAATTTAGTGTCTTGGCATTCCATAATATTTCTCCACCTGTTACCCATCGCTCTTAGCTGTGGGCTGGGTAACATGGGATTCAGTGTAGACAAGTGGATTGTATACATAGTGTCTCGCACAAGATTTTTGTTTTATAGCTTCCAATATGCAGAACATGTGGCCATTCTTTGGACAAGGTGTTGACACATAAATAGTTATAGCAAAAGGCAATGGAAGCAATTCACTTAATTATGTTCAGTTTCTTGGAGCATGGAACTAGATTAATATACTGGCACAGAGTTGTATGCAAATTTTCTGATCCAATAGTTTCATAGGAAATTACTTATTCATATGATTCCAACGTTTTCTCATGCAGATCACTTTGGACTTGACAATTTTTTACTCAATCAAAGGTCTTTCTCCAGTGAATCCAAGCTTATATGTCTAATGAACTGACCTCATGCTGAGAAATGGATATTCCAGCCTTCTTTGTGCAGACAGACTTCTTCTGGGCCAGGAGGCACTGGACAACCTGAGTCTCTTGTTCAGTGACTTTGCATTGAGTGGGCTTTCCTACAAGCACTGAATGGAGGATGGCTCCTGCCATTGATCTGCTCTTGAGCCAGGGACCCAGGGATCCTAGCATCATCAATTCTAAATTAGTCACATTGGAAAGTCTATATATCCTGTTGTAAAACCAGAATCCTGAAAGTAGTAGCAGGCCTAGCTCAAACTGAAGTTTGGCCCTTCACAGCAGAAAGCCTGGAAGTCTGTGCAGCTCTGGCCAGAACTCAAGCCAGGTCTCTTATGGATCCTGGTCTTTATCATGAAAAGGATAAACCTGTAGAAACTGGGATGAATCCTCCATGTTTTGGACACCAGGGCAGCATATTGAGATTGGAAAAAATCAGGGAGATTTTGTTTTTACTTGGACTAAAACCATATATCTAAAAGTGAGATTTCTGGTGAGCTGGACATCTGATTCTCAGTCAGCTAGAAAATTCAAACACTTTGTGTAACCTTGAAAAATATCACCACATCCATCTTTCTATCTGAATTTATTTCCATCCACTGGAAATTCCTTTGACTGTCATGATAATAATTTATTTTCTTACAGGTCACTATCTGGAAATGGAAAACCAAACCACTGTGACTGAGTTTATTCTCTCAGGACTTTCTTGTGACCCACAACTCCAAATTTTACTGTTCTGTGTTTTTTTGGTGATATACCTGATCACCCTAGCAGGGAATGCAGTCATCATGGTGGTGATAAGGGCTGATACTCACCTTCATACCCCCATGTATTTCTTCCTGTTTCACCTATCCTTTGTTGATATCTGCTATTCCTCAGCCATTGTCCCTAAGATGCTGGTGAACTTTCTAAGAAAGCATAAAACTATTTCTGTCAATGCTTGCTTTACCCAGACATTCTTCATCTTTCTCTCAGCTAGTTGTGAAACATTCATGCTCTCAGTAATGGCATATGACCGTTATGCTGCCATATGTAACCCGCTGCATTATGTGAGAACTATGAACAAAAGAGTGTGCAGGCAGCTAGTGAGTTTTTCCTGGACAATGGGGCTTATGGATTCATTGGTAAATACAATTCCTGTACTAAAGCTGCACTTCTGTGGGCCCAATAAAATTGGGCATTTTAGCTGTGAGCTTCCCCCACTACTAACCCTGTCCTGCACAGAGGCATTTTCCAACAAAATAATTATGATTTCTTCGGTTGTGGTCATTGGGTTAAGCACGTTCCTTCTCATGCTGGTTTCTTACATCCATATCGTCTCCACCATCCTGAGGATACATTCTGCGGAGGGAAGAAGGAAAGCCTTCTCTACCTGCAGCTCCCACCTCATTGTGGTGTCTTTACTGTATGTAACAGCCTTTGTCCAGTACATGAAATCCAGCTATGTATCTTCACTGGTCCTAGATCAAGTTTTTTCTATTCAGTACAGTATCTTAACCCCCATGTTAAACCCTATCATCTACAGCCTGAAGAATAAAGAAGTAAAAATAGCTCTGGGAAGAATATTAAAACTACCAAGGTCTCAAAGGATTTAAACTGATTTTACAGTTTTGAATAATTTAATAACCTTAAGTAAATTAAGATGAAAACATATTATTATGTTGACTTTTGGGTGTGTTGAAAACATGTACCTCTGTAGCAGGCAATTATTTTGGGTGGAGGGCCGCTTACTGAGTTTTGGCAAGCCATCGAGGGCTGCATGGCAGGCAGCCAGGGGCAGATGAATATTAATTTTCTACATTTTTTAGGGGCCCTGCGGGCCAGATAGAATGGCTTGGCGGGCCACACATTTTGCTCACCCCGATGTACCTGGACGATACGAGAACACAGATGTCAATTAATAGTTTCATAAAAACTATCCTCGGTTTTAAGTGCCATTAAATATAAAAATATCCAGCAAAGAGGACCACCTAAAATTTGTCTAGGCTTCAAGAACAGGTCATATTTAGGTCAATTTAAACTATGCCAGGCTTGCCAATATGTATCTTGAATTTTTGCTGTTAAAATGGGTGATAGGCCTTTCTCCACATATGTCAAGAATGTGATTTAACATGCGTGTCCTTCCCAAAAAGGTGCTTAGGAATTTAGGAGCTGAGATTATATCAACTTTACCTTGGTAGTGGGTGCTTCTGTCCTAAGAGAGTACTTGAAGACATACCTTACATATCCCATGCTAATAGGATTTCCATAAATGAACCAGGTGACAGGCAGGTAAAAAGATTAGAGAAGATGGAAGACATCAAACAGCTGACTAATTAATATAAGACACATGATTGTTTTCTGAATTTTCAAGTCTAAAACTGTCTGCATATATGTTTATCCAGTGATTGATCAACAAGTCTATCTTCCATGAAGGAGAGTCAAGAATTTAGGAAATCAAATATCTTTGCCTTTAAATTAGGAGGGAGCACCTCATCCCTGAGATCTTTGAGGAAGCTCATTGTATATGCTATCATGACGAGGATTTTTTCAGAATCAGTGGACTTTGTCAAAAACTAGTGAAAAGAACTGGAGAGCAAATTGTATTCATCTTGTAAATGCCAGACTGTATAATCTGGAACCAGTTCCTTCCAGAATAACGCCCCCTCCCCAAAACTGGAATATCTTGATGGAGCCTACAGAAACATTTGAAAGAGATTAAATCAGTTTGGGCAAGAATCTAAGTCCTCTAAGTATAGACTGACTCCAGAGTAACCCTCTTGAAATAAAGACCTTCAGAAGCTAGAATGCAATAATGTAGTGTTAATGATTGTTTATTTTAACATGAAAATGAATTCAGAACACTAATCCATTACCGCATGAAGGATATACTGTGGGTTAAATTCTTTTTAATTCTCTATGCCTGAATGGCATATACACAGACTTGTAACTTCAGTTTTTGGCACTTCTGCACAGACTCCATTTGTTTCACTCGGGAGCTAAACAGACAAGGTGTGGGAAAGCAAATAACATTAAAATGAATGATAATGAATTTGAAATGTATTACCAGAGAGATGAGAGGTAATTGTGGCAGAAATGCCCCGTCGGTGCCCCTCTCCAGAGACCTGTCTCAGCCAGCCTGAGAGGCTGCTGTTGAATCTCTCACAGCGGGGATCTCGCTCCTTGTCTGCAGACAAAAGCCTGGCGCCTGGGAGGCGATGCTCTGGTCACCTGGGCAGGGGGGAAAAGCCCGGCCCTGCGCGCGGGTCCAGGTAGCCAGGGATGCTTTGTAGATTGGTCGGTTTGTAGCCAGTATTGGCAGCTTCGATTGGACCGGGCTGCTGAGG